AAGAGTTTATAAATATATTAATTGTTTAATTTCTATTTGATGTGAGATGTTGACACAAATCATAATTTGCAAAAAATGCATTCTTTTTTTTTTTATTAACTTTTCAATATCTAGTAATTACAATGGATCCGACTAATTTGGAATCAAATCATGTCAGACCCTATAAGGGAGAAACTCCCTTAATGCTTATTTTTTCATTCACAAGACTCAAATTTGAAATTTTACTTAAGTTGAATTGAGTTCTTTCCATTCGAACCAATAGGATGATAGTTGAAAAGAAAAGTAGAAGGCTCAAAAAAAAAAAAAAGGGTGCAGAGAGATTTATCAGCACATATAATCTCCTCAGACTGGTGCATGACATACTCTAATGCCTCATCACTACCCAAAAGTCTATTCTTAATTGATCATGGTTTGCTAAGCATATTTATTGTTTAGTTTCTATATGACGTGAGATTTTGATATTGTACATGGAATTATAAACATCTCTATTGTTTAGTTTCTATTCGATGTAAAATTTTGATACCGATTATGGTTTGATAAACTCACCATCAATTTGAGAAAGTAGTGGATGACAAAAACCATCATGACATCATGTAACAAAATCAGTTATCTAAAGATGTGCAAAAAGACAACGGCTTACAACAAACTACTGGCTATGCACCACGCCATACAGTTTCAATATGATATTTCATTTAGTTGCAAGCCAATATTACTTAACTGGACAATTAAGAAAATAACTATAAGGGTTTATAAACATTTTAATTGTTTAATTTCTATTCAATGTAGGATATTGACACAACATCATTTGCTAAAACTTGATTAGTCATGATAATGGGTTTGAGAAAGTACTGGATGAAAAAAACCAACATGTAACAAAATCAGTTAAGCAAGTTTGACACGGTTAATAACCAAGGTATCTGGATTCTGGAGATGTGCAACTAACACAGAAACACGAGCAAAGTCGAGGAAAAGTCTGCTTGATATTATTGCTCAAATCCAACAATCAACCGTTTTAATACCACGCTTGCAAACTAATGTTACTTAATTAGTTCGGCTATTAATTAGGATTTATAAGCTTGTT